GCAAGATCATGACCTGACCCTAAGTCCAATGCTTAGCCAACTGAGCCACCCAGGTGCTCCAAGTGCCTCTCTTGAGGCCCAAATAGACTTCTCCCTTTTGGGTCCTCTGAGCTCCTCCTATAGTAAAACTTCTCCCTTGAGTTTCTTTGAGTGAAGGTTTGTTCCATGTGACCAAAGGATTCCTAAAGAAGGACAAAAGTAAATCGTGTGAGGCTGAAAGCAGACAGACATCTTTCTCCTGTATCTTTGGCCTTCTTGAGGACAGAGTCCTGGCTTAGCCTTCATGTCCAGGTGGATCTCTGGCCAAGCTCCATTTTGGGTAATTGAGTTTAAATAAGCAAAGCCTGGTCCCACAGTAGCAAGCGCTACCCAGGTCATTCAAGTGAGTGCTATGAGCTAGGAGACATGGTGACAGGGAACTGGTTTTCTCCTGGAAAGCAAGACTGGCTCCACAGAGAAAGTGCGTCTTGTTCCATTTTGTACAGAATCTGGCACACAGAGGGGCTCAAGGAATAGGGACTGTGGAATACATAAAGGAAGTGGCATATAGCTGTGGCCAAATGGTCAGGCAGTCAGAGGAGGAAGTGAATGCTCTGTGGCTGGGTGGGTGTGGTGGACATGGGGACTACATTCTTGGGTGTTAATATCCTCAGTGGGAGGGTATTATAGAACAGCTTTTGGGTGTAGATTTGGTCCATCTTTATTTCCATTTCTAGACCTCTTTCACTCTCAGTCATTTACTATTTCAGAGATTTCCAAAATAATCAAAACGGGTTAAATCAGAATTTGCACATAAATTTACTTTAGATTTTATTATATCATCGGTTTTTTAATTGATTAATTGCATTTGGGTTTCACGGTGGGTCAAGGTTTTCCTCTAATCTTTATAGTACTTGGAGGTCCTCTGGGCTCTTAATGAGTGGAGATTGATTATATTCTCCTTACCTTCAAACCCTGCTGAGAAAGGAGGGCAGGTGTGGAGAAAATCTTGATCTAGACATTGGATTCATCCCTGGACTTTTCAGAGGGATGATATTTAAAATATTTAGCTACCAGTACTGTGCAGGCTCCAGTAAATTGGGTTCAAACATTACTCCAGTCAGGGTCAGAACAACCTGTCTGGTGAGTTCTCCCTGAATACCAACCTTGCTGTCTCCAGATGTGGTTTGCTAGAATTTGGAAGGTTGTTTTTGTTGTTGTTTTTGTTTTTAGAAACCCACAGTTCCCAGCGCTTGACTTCTAAGTGTGAGATTTTTGAATATGGTAAGCAGAGAGGTGCAGACCAGCCTGCACTCAGGGCTCACTGGGGCAAAGCCCATTCTCATAATGGAATAGGATCCTTCAGTTATGAAAATGGAGGCAATTTTCAACACTTGCCTTCATTTCATTATGTAGAGATTTTTGTAATGTGGCTCCCGGCCTCTGGCCTTTTGAGTCTCTCTCCACCCATCTTTGTACGGTGGTCATGTCATACACCTGACACACGTGTAGATCTAACCAGAGACTTGGGGGAAGGACAGAGGCCCTCTCACAGCCCCTCTCCAGCATGAAGAATGAGTGGTCTGACTCCTGTCCCCACCTCCCGTGGCTCGCCTCACACAGAGACACAGGCATTTGCCAGCTGGCTCCCTTTCCCCTTTAACTGAAACTTCCCTCCTTGATGATTTCACTTCAGACACCGCTTTCCCTAAACCTTGCCTTGACTAGAATCATGCTAATGTTGACAGTTCTTCCCCCACCCCCACCCGCTTTGTTATATCCTGCAACCCAGAGAGAGTGTGAGGTGAGCCTGTCGGAGGAGATGAAAGATGGCAAGAAATGGGTGTTTGGGGACCAGTTCTTTGGTGACATCGACTCTGCAATCCTTTTTTCACTCTCAATACCTTAACTCCCTCTCTCGCCTTCTCCCTCTCCCTCGCTCCCCCTGCCTGCTCTTCCCTCTCATTCTCTCTGAAATGGTGTGTGCCTCCAGTAATTTACATAATACTCTTCTGACACCTTTACTTTAGTCATCAATCACGGTACCTTCTCTCAGTCTATCTTTTGTCTGAGCATGTCTCTTCTTTATCAGGCCATGCACAAAAGATTAATTTCACAGTTTTTCTCCCTTCTTTCTTTCCTTGCAAGATACAAAGCTCATGAAATGACAGAAGCAAGATAATGAAAACAACAATGCAAGCAATTTTTTTTTGTTCTTGCAGGTTGGATCTCAAGATACTTTTTCTAACCTCATTGTGTGCCATCTGTCTTAGAAAAGGTCTGCTCTGTATTTTTTTTAATACCTTTCTGATGCTGCTCTGTAGACTACCTGGGGGCGGGGGGGTGGATTACATATTTAAATCAGGTCAGAGCCTTTAGTTTTCAAAATCTTTGGAACAATTAAAGCAAGGGGCCCATCTCTAATGGAGGCATGGACTACTGCACAATGCCCACGCCCCAATTAATATTAATGAGCTCTTATGCATAGCCAATTTATGACATTTGATTGACTCACCCAACCACCCTTCAACCTGTCTTATAAAGTGAAATATATGGCAAAGAGGGACTTATTTGCATATGCATATGTTCTTAATATTAATTAGGCTAATGGATCTAAGGACTTGGAGATAATTTGGGTCCTGGTGAAGAAGGGAAAAAAAGAAACTACCACCCACAAAACACAAAAGTGTTCCATGTCCTGTGTCTGCACTTGAACAAAAGAAGTTGAAGTGGAAGGTAAAAATAACTCGTGCCAGTATTTCCTCCTTTTCTTGTATTCCACAGGATTCAGAGTTTTAAAAAATAAAAATATTAACCTCAGGCATTAGTATTACTTATCTTCTGTCTTCCATTTAAATTGGGAAAGTTTAAATAGATGATGGACGAACATAAAAATAAAAGCCTAGTTCAACTGTATGCCGGCAGCTGTAGGTCAGATCTCTCCCGTCAGCTCCGGACGCTGCAGCTTCAGGAGGATGCGGTGTCTCACAGAGATGCGTGTCAGACATAGGACAAAGGGTTATGTCAGGAGGAAGTGTTCCCAAGGACATCTGCTTTAGCAGGGTCACTAATGGAATTTATCCCCACTGTGGAGTGGCTAGGAAGAACTCTTTTGATGTAGCCTAATTAAGCCTAGAGAGCAGAGTCAAACTTCTTGAATTTTGTTACGGAGAGCGGGAGCAACACATCCCCTGACTTTTCTTCCCAACCATCCTTTAAAGTCCAACCATGATGATCTTTGAGACCAATGATAGAAGGAAAACCATTTATGTATCTACTCACCCTCTATATTCTAAAGGACGTCGATAACAGGTAACTAGGAGGCCTTGGACAGCAGGATAGCGCATGTCATAGGAGCTTGTCGTTATGGTACCATAAAAAAGGTCATCATAAATGATCATAGTGACTATTACTTGAATGCTTCTTCTGTAACAAATGGTACGAAAAGCATGTTCCATATTCATTCTGTCTTCTCCTTGTTGTGTAAAGTGTGGCAGTTTGGAATGCTGAGGCCAGGATTACACTTAGGGGGACTGTGACTCTGAAGTATAATCTCTTTCCATTGGTTTTTCAAGGTTGGGACCGCTCAAGAGTATCGTAGACTAGAGGTAGCTCATCCTGGAGTCAATAAAAACAGCAACTGGCACCACAGGAAGAGGGACTTCCTGCATCTTCCTCAGATGGCCAGTGGCTTGGCTAACTCCATGATGTCCAACACCAGTAGTTAACATTCAAAGTAGACATTATCGTTTGTTGCCACACAGATAAAAGAAAGTGAAATACAGAAGGAAACTTGATTAGTTAACAGTTCAGGAAAGTCTTTTGGAACAAAAAAAAAATTACTTGTATTTAACATTAATGAATGAAAACTCTCTATAGGATAAGTCCTACTGGACAGAAATCTTCCAGAGCTTGCTAGAGTGATCATGTCCATGGAAAGAAGGATGGGGTAAATAGATGGGGACCGAATGAGGCCTGTGCTGGGAATCCAGGGTGGTGACATTAGAGACGAGCAAGGAATAGAGGCCTCCAGAGCCAGGGATGACCTCACGGATTCTTCTTATCTTGGCTCCCCGTCTCCCCTCTGAAGTCTAGTGGCTGGGCACCACTGGAATGCTAAAACTCCCCTGGGGGGTTTACCTTCTGGTGACACTCCTAATGAATTTTATGAGTTGCCACAGTCCTTACCTAGCTCTCTTGTCCAAGTGTGTATCTTATGTGAGCATACATTTTGGGGAGTGGGAGGAGCGGAAACTGCTGAGGAAACACAAGGAGAAAAGGAAGAGACCCCTTCTTCCTGGAGGTCCCACACTGGGGGTCCAGCGCTTACAGGACTGGTGGGGACAAACATGAGTCCTTCTCTCTGATAATCGTTTGTTCTGCCCAAACTTGTTACTTTTTTTTTTTTTTTTTTTTTAATTATCTCCACTGCTGAAAATGCTTTGACTATGTTGTAAAGATGTGACAGGTAGTGAAAGAGTGTGTATGAAGTGATTAGGGAGCTGATATACTTTATTCTCATCTCATATTAAATATATGTTCATTACAGCAAGAGTTTGTTCACAGAGAAAAAGTAGGAGAAGCAGGACTGAGGGGTGCCTAATGCCCTTTCTTCTCATTCACGAACTCAATAAGAGTAACTTAGCAGAATGGTTCAGTGTGTGGGCTCTGGGTCCAGCTGCTTGGAATTGTATCATGGTTCCACCTTTTATGACTTGGGTACCCTTAGACATATTACTTAACCTCCCAGCACCTCGGTTTTTACCTTCTATGAAAGAAGTATAATAAGAGCATCTATCTCACACTGTGTTGTTGTGAAGTGTAGATATGTGTAGTGTTTGGCACATAGTGAATGCTCAGTATGTATTGACTCTCAGTATTACCATGTTTCTCCACTCAGTTGATACCTTTTTCACTTAGCATTTTTGGAATTCACTGAAGAATGCTCTCTTTCAGTAAACAATGTCATCGCCATTGCCATGGCAACACCATGGCCAGTCATTTTATTAGTTGCTGGGAATGAGGAGGGCAGATGTGACCTCTGTCCTCATAGAGCTTATGATCTAGCTGAGCAGAAAGGTATTTAATAGCCAAATACAGCAGAGTATGATAAGTGTTAGAGTGAGGATTTATGTGAGTCACTGGAGGGGTCACAACAGGGAACTGCCTAAGTTCTAGATGTCTGGGAAGATCCCGGAGCTGGTATCTGAAGGACAGGTCAGAGAGAGGTACTGGAAGGAGGTCAGAGAGGAGTGGGGCGGGAAAGGCGGTAAGAGTACCATCAGTAAACTCCCAAAGATGGCAAGGAGCAGAAGAAGGCTCAGGGGACTAGATGGAGGTTCGAGTGGCTGGACCTTAAAAACTTCAGGAAGGAAAATGGTGAGGGAAGGTGGGGCCCAGCCATGTGAGGTGTGCTTAGCCATTCAAGGAAGTGGGATCTACACCATGAGTAGTGGGAAACCACTTGTGGATTTAAAGCCAGACAGTTATAAGTACTGACATTTCCATTTTGCAAAGATGGGGAGGGTGTACTGGCTGGTGAGGAGCCAGCTGCTACCATGGCAATGAGAGAGGGCAGGGATAAGTACCCTCCAGTGCCCTCTGGTCGAATACTTGTCTGTTGAACAATAGCTAGACTGCTAGACTGGCCCACATTGAGCCAGACTAGGAAGGGCAAGTCGTGTGCTTCAGTGCGTGAGGGGCCATCTGAACACCGGACACCCATCTGCGAGCTCCAGGAACATTTTTACTTAAACCCTCTAGTTGTATTTTCTCTTCTCTTCTCTCTCCTCTCTCTCCTCTCCTCTCCTCTCCTCTCCTCTCCTCTCCCCCTC